CATGAATCTGATCTGAACATTGCAATAACAGTATCTCTTGCTTACCAAGTATTCCTTGAGCAACAAATGTGAAGGAGAAAATGACCAAGGTACATCCTGAAGGAGGCAGATACAGCACTTTGTCAGTCACAAATCGCAGTGTGCACCATCTGCACATGTGCAAAGATTTCTCTCACCTATTATTATGTTTCGTAGTCCACACACAAATTGTGGTCTCTGACTCCCTGACATGATAACTATTAGTCGAACCTACAAAGACACAAAGATAGCCACGAGATAACCTCCAGCTGTTAATATTTGCCTGTCTGTCAATGTTTTTCCATCTTTTTAAACCAGGCACTGAATTTTATCATTTACAATTCAAGGAAATAACCATGAACTTCCTTTCCTGTGTTAAAATAATTAGCAAATTAAAGTGTATTATGTGAAAGCATTAAATAGATTGTTACAGACCGACCTGTTTGTGTGTCTGACCGGACACATTTGAAGATACAGAAAAGGACTGTTGCAAGTACGTGGCCACATACACAGCAATGTGCACGTGATATTGTTTCAACTTCCTCTTACACTGTTTCATTTTAACGCCTTTTTTTGCCTGCCCTTCCCATTACAGTTATATCATGTAATCACAAGTAAGTACAGCCATTTCCTTGGTAATTATACATTTGAATCACTTCTACATAAAGCAAATTAACAATAAAAAAATATCTGTTTTCTGTTTTCGTTTTTTTTCTTGTTTGTTTTTTGTATATTTAAGGAAATGTGGGGTAAAGCTCAGGGTATGCAGAAAATTCACTGTATCTTTTTTCCAGTGTCAGTTTGCAGTTTTCCAAAGGTCTCTTTTGCGTTCACAGATCAGAGCAAAAACATAAACACCCGCTGACAATGTCTCTGTCGAAGAAAAACCCCAGACTCTTATGAGAGTAGGCCATGGTTCTTCTTTTCTAACTGACAGTTTTACTCCCCGAAGAAGTTTCCATCAGCCTCCCCTCGTATTCGCATAAACATTGTTGTAGACAGAGTATAAAAGCACTTCCTGTGCCGGACGAGGTCATTCTGCTACTTGTGAAATACACGCCCTGTTCTCAGTTCCAACACCACTCTCTTTTATTTTTAATAATTTAATTTCACTGATGGTTGAGTGTAGAAAAAAATCATGTCAAAAGGCAAAAAAGGATATATATTAATAATGAAAAGAAAATGAATAATGTTGAGAAAATTTGTTATTCGAGATTCAGTCATAACAATTATTTACTGCATGATGTAGAGGCATTAGGGGGACATCTAGTGGCCTTCAAATATTACTGCAGGCGATTCCTTGCCCCACAGGGTAGAAGTGTGTTTTCTCATAGAGCATAGAGCAAAGCAAAAAAATAAATTAAAATAAATAAAATAAAATAAAATAAAATAAAATAAAATAAAATAAAATAAAATAAAATAAAATAAAATTTATTTAAAAGTCTTTAACTGTCAGGCAAATGAAAAATGAACAGAGAAACAAGGCAGATCACAAACAGTGTTCACAAGTCTGTGAAAGAGAAATAATATGTGCCAAACCCAGCATGTAATATCAAAAAGAAGAAGAAGAAAGATTTAAACTTTGTTTGTTTCATGTACTATACAAATAAAACAGATGTATTATATGACAGCAATAAAAAGCGTGTTCGTTTAAATAGTTTGTTGCAGCGCTACCTGCCTGTGAGAGAATGTTTGCATGAGAACTTGGCAAAGTGTTCACACATGAATGTGTTCTTGTCTGAACTTCCTGTTACAGGGTCTCATTGCGCTGAAAGGACTTGCCATGAGGATTCACAAGCCATTTACTCAGATAATCGTTTGTATAACAGTGATATTACCACAAATAAAAACTACAAAGCACTTTTTAAAAAAGTTCCCATTCTTTGACTTCACTCTGATGGCAGCCTCAGCTCCTCTTCATCACTGAATGATAGAAATGTTGAGCTATCCAGTAGAAGAGAG